AAGTTACTACCTCAGTGGTCCTGGTAATAACATGGTATTAACACATTAAGAACATTGGTAGCACCAATACAGTGTTGCCTCAACGTATCTCTGGGTTGCTTTCTCTTGTATCTCTACTGTATGAATGTTTCTGGAAAAAAAATATCTAAACCAAGTTTTTTTTGTTTGCTTGTTTTTTTGGTGTGGCTCTGTTTGTTGTTGTTGTTTTTTTTTTGTCCCAGAATGTAAGTTAAAATTGAGGCAATTAGTTGTTTTATGATAGGAAATACCAGCATTATGATACAGCATCTTATAGTTAGGAGACCCAAAAATTATGTAACAAAACCAAGTAAAGGTCAGAGACAAAGATCTTTGATGAAATATCAGATATAAAAGCCGAAGTGTTACTGTCAGAGGAAATGTGATAATCTGCATTACAAAAATGTTACAGCCAGGGAAGGTAGGAAATTGTACATCCTCTGCAAAAACCCTGAGTCAGCAATGCCTGTACTGAGAACTGTGTCCAGAGTCTTTTTCAATCACCCAATATTCCCAGGCTAAGCAATTTTATTAATGCTATTCATTCTTCTTCCAAAGGACTCACAATTTCTTACACAACATTAAACCTATCCTGAAAAAAAAAAAAAAAAGAGAAAAAAACCAAGCAAAAATATAATGGTCAAGCACAGCATATCCTCTCCCAGTCTCTGTATTGGTAGCATTTCCTAGAAATTTAATCCCTTCTGCCATTCCTAATGATAGTTCCCAGAAGATACTTGCCTGTGTGCTAGGATGTTTCCGTAAGGAATGGTTGGATTACAGAAAAACTTATTTTCAAGTTTTGTAGAGAAGGATCAATTTCCATTACTGAGATTTTCATTGCTGGGCAGAGAGCTGACTGAAATAAAACTTTACTGGAGCTTGAACTGAAACAATTTTATAGTCTGCTTTAATCTTTGGAAGTTAGAAAGTCTGGACAAAAGCAGAGAAGAGCTGAGATAAAATGGACCTGACAGCTGACTGCTTCACAAATGAGCTGGAGCAGGATGAGGGGATGAGTGTGACCTGAGATTGAGTGTTCAGTGTTAGGTGTTATGTGACCTATGGCCCATTCATACAAGTGTTTACGGGGGGAGAATCTCATTGCCAAATAAAAGATCTGAGAGCACAGTACACAGGCTCACTTTTTCACATGCCAACTCTTGACATTATTTCTAGCCCAGTGCCCAGTCCTGACATTTCCAATAATGCAGTATAATGCTGGCTGATTGAAAATGTACTAAAGCCCATGAAGATTCCTGCATGCTGGTATGTTGCTGCTGATACACAGCAGCTGAACATCAAAGTACAGTAATGGTTGCTCACCTGTGACCTCATTTGAAGTCAGAAGGAAGTGTCTGTGGCTTCAGAAGCAGATGTCATGCAGAGTTCCAGTCCTCCTCAAGAAATCCTGTCTTCAAAATGGGTCAAGAAGTCATTGTCGAGAATATTTACCGCTATGGTTTCTTAATGAATTAGGGAAGTTCCATGTAATTAGATTTCAAAAGTTTATAGGTGAGTTTATAGGTAAGATAGGATAGACACTTAACTCTTGGGGAAGTACCAGGGAGAAAAAGTGACCCGTGAACAATTTCAAAATAATTTCCTTAATTAATTATACTTGAAAAAAATACAGAGAGTACTTTACAGAAGATTAAAGCTCTTTAGTAGTTTTTAATTAAAATAAAAGCAGAGGAGATATATTTTCTTGTAAGAATTTTGTATTTTAAACAGTGCTCCTAGCTTAAAACATTAAAAATATCATTAAACCTGTTAAAAAATCATGAAATAAGAAAGGGGAAATTACTTCCCCCTCATTTTTCAGATGCATTTTGTCCAGTTTATTCTTCCTCCACAAAGCAAGATCCTCCAGTGATGGTTTCATCCAGAGTACCACATCTTAAATGAAAGGCAGCTTTCCTTTCACTGATCTCTCCTGCTGTGCAGTTCAGGGTAGCCCATTTGGGAAGGGGAACTTAACCAAGCAATTTCCCTGAGGTTCACCATCAGTGCTGGGTTAAGACCTTGTTTTTCAAAAGTCTATTGTATTTCCTCCTCAAAAGCAGCAGAAAATACAGAGCTGAAGTCTCCCTCTGGACTTCAGCTGGGCACTGGAGTGAGATCCAGCACCAGAGCAGGTTTTTAGCCCCGTTTTCCATGGGATGCATTGCTGGATGTGTATCTCCCATCTGGGGTGTGGTGAGCCAGTGAAAAGAGATGGTAACTGTGACTAGTCTCTGTTTAGTGCTGTCTCACAACAGAAATACAAGACCCTGGGAATGGGAGACATATCTCCACTTCCAAAGAAATTCTATTGACGCATTGCAAGGGATCACTGCAGCCCTGACTGGCTGCACCATAGCTCTGGGTACATCCAGGACCAACAGTCCTGGGAAGAGGCCAGGAATGATCTGATGAACATGGGAACAATAAAGTCTGCTCATGTTAGTGTCCAGTAACATCTTGGCTATTTGCTTTTGGGCTGGGCCATACTCAGAGTAGCCTAGAGGGATGAGAGATAGTTGTAACTCACAGCAACTAACAAAAGGGTAAATAATGCCAAAGCTTTAGGAATATCACAAAAACAGAATTTGCAAAACATGAATTAATGAACTTGAAATATGCATTTCAGCATCTCAGTGTCTGGAAAATATCAAGGTAAACTAACCAACTGGAACAGCCTCAGAAGGTGGACATGATGGCATAACCAAAAGGTAGCATGGCTGAGATAGCTATCAACACAGATGGAGGCTAACTCAAAGTTTTCTATGAAAATAGGTATGTCCCAGTGTATGGTTTCAAATAAAAGAGTGGGAACACAGAAGAGCTCCTGTAATTACTGCATAGGAAAGGGCAGAAGAAAGATCCAGCATCTAATTCCTCATTAATCTGCCTTATTTTGTTTTAATATCCATCAGGACAGGGGACAAAGTGTGCTCCTCACCCTGGTTTGAACTGATGGGTGTGGCATAGCACCTACTTAGGTCATGCACCCTTTCCATGGGATTGGAGCCCCAAAAAGAGGTCAGGCAAGCTGGCTCTGTGTCTGATGAGTGGATGACCAAAGGGGTAGAGAGGTAACATCTGCCAGAAGGGCAAGAGGACCTTCAAGGACAAAGGGATCTGAATGCCTGTCCACAGCTCCTTTGTATTTATGTTCTGGGTGTAGGACTTCAGTTCTGATGGATGAGCTGCTGGAGAAACCTCAGTTAGATGCAGACTCCGGTTATCAGACTAACTCCTGGGGAGGAGCTAATGGAAATGCATTTCAGGGAAGGTCAGTACTTCAGTGCAGCCTATCTGTCAGGAATATCCCAGTTTGGTCTTCAATGTCTGTATTTTGGTTAAGTAAAACTCAGCTTTTCATCTTTACATTAGCCTGTACCCCTACTGGAACTATTAAAATGTATGTGGAAAAGAGTTGAGAGACATATTCTCGAATAGGCTTGTGGTACATTTGGGTGTGAACTAGACTGCTGGCATCCTGGGTCCAGACTCACTTTCTGCTGCCTGCTGCAGTCAAGATGCTGTTGGAGGCTGGTCATGGGAATGGGTACCTGAGAGGGGCATGGAAAAGGAGGCAATGATGATGGCTCCAGGCTGCAGCTTCAAGGGCACAGATCTGTGCAGAGCTGATGTAGCAGATGTCTGAGGGCAGCTTAGGACTGAGAGGCAGGACTGAGACATGGAGGGAAAAATTCATACTGCAGATGCATCAGAGGAGGCTAAAGAAAAAACCTCATTCCCCTCAGCTTTTAACTGCTTCCTTTCAGGTGTAAGGAAAAGATCTGGACATTTCAGACCACGAGGTTAGGTTGACAATGGCTCTTGTCTGGAGATCCTGAGCCACAAAGAATGGAGCCCAGCCAGACACACACCCACCCTCAGAGCTCTCAGATATCCACTCTCAGAGGCAGAGCTGCAGCCTTGGTTTTCCAGATCTGTTTTCTCCTCTTTGTCACCTGTGCACATTGTGGGTGTTAGAAAACCAGGAGTTTACATTTATACCAGTTCTGTGTCCTCATGCATTACTGTCTGCAGGTGGGCTGCAAATTACCATCTAAAGAGCGCAGTTTCCCATTGGGAACAGCATGTTTCAGACTGAAGATGCAGCACAGCCTTCATGTTGGCAGAAGAGCCTTAGGAACATGAAAATCACCTGGATAAGTACATGACCACAGCTCTGGTCATTATACCTGATTACAGCCTTAAATACAGGTAATATTTTTGAAAAAGGGAATTTAGAAATCAGGCATGTGACAAATGCAGAGTTGGTCCTACACAGTTTCTCATCTCTCAGAGAGGATTGCACAGTGATGTGCAGATGGCCAGTGACTCTGGTGGGCCACTGTGTGAGAAAGGGTATTTTCAGGGTAGGAGTCACAGGTGGTCAGTGCTTTGGTTCTGATACAGTCTCTGATCACTTGCGTGCACCAGTCAGCAGCAGTGAAACCAGTCATGTACCACAGAAGATTTGGTGGTTTTCTGCCATCAAATTGTCAATCAAGTAAGCTCATTGTAATTGGGACAGGAGACACAAACTCATAAAATTCTCAAATATTTTGATGCAAAAAGAATTCAGGATTCCTACCTTGGTAAAAGCCCCTGCTTTGCCCCGCATTAATATTTGGGTTTTTTTTTTGGAAACTAAAGATTATGATGGCCTTGAAGTTGTATTTGTGGGTTTTGAAGTGGTTAGGTAGTTCTCAGAAGAGGATACTGGAAAGAGGATACTCGCTGATGTCATTTTTATTTCACCACCCAAAAAAAAAGCTGAGAGAGATGTTGGTGGCCCTATATAAGGTGCAGCTCACCTCCTGCAGAGCATGTCAGGAGTCACAGCAAAGGTAAGGCTTGCAGCCTTTGTGCTGCTCTCACTTTGCTTCACTTGCTCTCCTTGGTGCTAACGCTGCCTTCTCTCCCATCAGAGCTGAGCCCTGTATCTGCAGCCTCCTGGGACGGACCATTCCAGACTGTGAGCCATGGCCTCCCTGCAGACCTCGTCCAAGAGCTCCCCAGGATGGGTTTTCTTCTGCTGCTGTTGCTGTCTCCCCCTTCTTCTCACCAGCTGTCTGCCCCTGAAAGGGGCTTCCACCGCCCATGATGCCTGCAGGCTCAGGAAGGTCAACTTCCAGCAGCCCTACATCAGGAATCGCACCTACACCTTGGCTAAAATGGTACAGTCATCCGTGTGTTCTTCATGGTGGGATCTGAGGATCTACTCCTCTGCTGGTGCTGTGACTTCTAACCTTTGGCATTCCTCCCTCTTTCCCCTCCCTTTTTCCAGAAAAAAAAAAACCCAAAAGCATTTGCAGTTAAGGCAGAGTTTGGATGTGTGGAACAGGTCTATTGCCTGCTGGCTCTGTAGCCAGGGGAAGCTGCTGCCTCTCCTCCTGCTGCTCCCCAAGGGAAAAACCACCCCTGGAGCAGCACAGCTTCTTCTTTCCAGGCAGCCGCTGCCAAAGTGGGTAAATTGTGAAATATGACATTAAATTTCTCAGCTTGCTCAATCCATTTGGAGCTGGGCCTGTCTATGACTCCAGTCACAGCCAGGCAGATGCTCAGGTATCTTACAGTGCTTTGCTAGGGCAGGTTTCTGGGCTGCTCTTGCCTTGGGTGGATGTCCCTGGGTGCACACATCAAGCACCTCCCAGCAGCACTGCGGGCTGCTGTGAGGTCAGCCACCTGCAGCATCTGGTTTAGTCACCATAACCACGATGACTTCTGACTTTAGAGGAGGACAGGAATTCAGCTGATTTATTTTCCTGCAATACTGACCTTGATCCTCACCCATCTCTGGGGAGAAACACACACCAAATGTCCAAACTTACCTACCTGTTACAGGCTGTGGTGTCCATTCCATCACTGCGCCTGCACTTTCATTGCTGATAAAAACTTTTAGGATTGTTATTAATTTTTAAGTAAGGTTCCCATCACTGACACTTCCTTTTCTCCTCTCAGGCCAGTGCCTCAGACAAGGACACGGACAACAGACTGATTGGGCAGCAGCTCTTTGTTAACATCAGGGTAAGCCTTACATGAGGAGTCTGCTCTTTGCATCCCTCTGCAGCACTTAGGGATCTCTTGCCTTGATTTAACATGACTTCTTAATTTCATACATAGGAAAACAACCGCTGCTACCTGATGAAGAGGGCTGTGGAGTTTGTAGTAAAAGATGTTCTCCTCACTGAAGTCAAGAACCAGTACCCTTATGTTGAGGAGGTGGCACAGTTCTTGGCATCCCTGACCTCAGAGCTTAGCACTTGTGTGAGTAACACTGGGTTTCTATCCCTCCGAATCTCATTGCTGCTCCTAAATCTCAGAATGCTACAGGCAGTGGCAAAAGGCAGTGGTATGAAAGGAAACCTCAGATCAAAGATATGAAAGTCAGAGTTAATAGAAAGGTGTGAAAAAGAAAAAAAAAATGTTGTTGCATATAGCTGTCCGTCTTATGTCTGGATGTTTCCTTTCTTTTAGCAATTCTCAGGAAAAAGAGAACACATTGAAAAGAACCTGGAACAAATGAAGAACAAAATGGAACAGGTACATTTCCCCCAAGCATTTAGAAAGATCAGTTTCAAACCCCAGTCATTTAGTTGGATTAAGGCCGACTTAATTATGAGAAAAACTTGAGATTGTTTAGGACATGAAGCCTATGAAGGCATTGAAGTAGGGGAATAATGATATTTCCCCTTCCAGCCCTCCCTCACTTTTCCTGTTAGCTCTCTGCACGTTATGATAATTTAAACCTTCAAAAGTTGGTTGCAGGATTGATATGCTAGTCTAGATTTGAATGAACTAGTTTATATTTTATGATATAATGACACTAACAGAATTGTGTAAGAGAATGAGAAATGTAAATGATTGATTCAGTTTCTGTGATAACCCTAATTTCAGTTTTCTGAAAAATAACTAGGTGCTAAGATTTGCATTCTGCTCTTTTCTAGTTGGGAGAAAATGGAAAGACTAAAGCCATTGGAGAGCTGGATTTACTCTTTGACTACCTGGAAAATGCCTGTACTGATGCCCAGAAGAAGGGAGGTAACAAGAAGAAAAACTGAAAAAATTCTGGATCAGGCTTGAAGAGATGTCTCTGCAAATCTCTTGCAATAACTCAAATTGACTAGCTGCAACTATGCCCATTCCCCCCCAGATGCAGTATATTTTTCACTCATGTCAAAACTAGCAAACTAAGTGTGCAGAGACAGGATGCGTATTGCTGCCTTCTTTGAAAATGGAAACTTCAGGAGACTGCCTCTTGAATGCAACACAGGGCACTTGTTATTTACAAAAGCACTGTTCTGCTCTCCTCATCTTCACAGGAATGAGGCAACCATTTCTGTCTTTTATATACTGAAAGCTGACACCTATGAATCAGCTTTGATCAAGGCAGTGATGTTTTGATGTGATGTTTTAGCCAGGATTATTTTGAGCCTCCTAGTTGGAAATCTCTCTTGCATATGTTGCCCCCTTCTGACCTTTGCCTGAAAAGTTGGTATTTCAGACTATTTCAGAAATAATTTTTGTAATTTGTATTTAATGGTAACTTATTTTAAGGTAATAATTATACAATATTTTTATTTATATAGATTAATTGGAAAATATCCAAGGAAATGTATTTATGAAGCTTTACCAGAAATAAACACTGCTATGTAATATTTATATGCAGATGGAACATTTTATAAATGCTTTCACTTTAATTTATTATAATAAATATTTTGGTCCTCAAATACTGCCATTTGCAGAGCTTTTGTCTTTTATTCAAACACAAGGGAGATGATGCACATTGTGCCTGGGGAGCTGCTGGACTAGTGGCTGTACTCTTGCGCCTAGAAAGGATGCAAGCTCTGCCTGGGGTTATGCTTCTTCACCATAAGCCTGAAATTTCGGCTTCTCACAGGCCAGGGCTTAGTGGGGAGCATGTCAGTCAGTCTTTCTTGTAAGGGATGGTGGGAAAAATAACATCACCCCAGAAAGTCATTGGTTTGGTTCACTGGTTCTGCCTCGGTACACGCAGAGACGGGATCCCCCCTTGAATAGCTGCTGTTGAGAAGTCCCAAACTGTCCCCATGGGTCAGATGATGTGGAGACAAGCAGGCAGCAGCTGCTAATGAAAACTCAGAGCTCTGCATTCCCACTGCCCATCCATAGCACTCTGAGCACAAATGGTGTTCTGCAGCATCAGGGATCTGAGAGCCCTTCAGAAGAGAATGTTTGGTGCCTATTCTGAACACAAACTCCAAGACAGAAAAAACCCCAAGTCCCTGAAACACTGTTTAATATGTCATTATCACATCATGTCCTTCAGCAATGTCTCCTGACAAAGACAGGAGGGTTGCTCTGGTGTTTCCAGGGAAATTGGTGACTGGACCAAGGTTAAAGGGATAAAAACCATCAAAATAGTCAGAAAGCCAGAAGAAATATGTAATAGCTGGTTCCAGCAACTGCTGAAGTCTTCTTGAGCAAAGCCTTGCCATTTATTCATCAGGGCAACAAGCATCCTGCCTACATTTTAAAAATGTTCCTCCTGAACCAGAGCAAATTTAAGATGGATTTAAAAGCATCCATCCATATGTGAATTGAAATCGCAACACTTTCTCATAGGAAATCACATATTAGACTTCCATATGATCCATTTGGGTGGTGGAGGCCTGTTACCTGATGCATTCAGCATGGTTTACATTCAGCTTTCATTCACATATCACAACGTATGACTAACATGCCTGTTCACAGTCAAGGCAGAAGTGACCCCTTAACGCCTGGCAGCCAGGATCTGGTACTGCATGACAGTTTCAGGGATTCAGCCTTTACTATATATTCAGTTGGATATATATTTCCTTTCTTCTGGGATAAGGAATGATATTGTCAAGAGCTATTGGCCAGTATCCTTTCTCTTATCACTCAAACTTGTGAGAACTGACAGCAAAGGAGGGGAGTTTAAACACCAAATGAATAGTTCACTTCACTGACCTTTGGTATATACAGTCTTTCCTTGAACTACATCTGTCTCCCTTTATAGTCAGTGGAGGTTAAGAGGAATTATACAGGTGTCATTTCTCTGGTCTACATTAGAGATCTATAAAGATTGTGACTTTGGGCAGGATAACATAACTTTACCCTGTTTTGTTCCTTAATGATAAATAGAGACCAGACCATGAGCCACATACATGTTACTCTTTGTTGAAAAAATCACTTCACAAATAGATAAATAAGTTATTTCCTTCTTCTACTTCCTCTAGGTCTCTTGTGCATTTTTCTTATTGAGTTGCCCTACCCAGAAATGTCAAATCAATCTCTCAAGTCTTCCACACTGAGGCTAAACCTAGATTAAAACCCATTTGTCCACAAAAGTGTAAAAGTGAAGTCAAGTAATTATTAATTTCTCCAACCCTAAAAACCACCAATTGGAAGACTTTACCACAGAAACCTCATGAGCTGGAGCCCTGGAATGCCACACAGCAAACTTTGTAGAATTTCCTTCTCAGGTTTTCTTGCAGGGTATGTGTGACTTGTGGATGTGCAAAAGATGGTGGTGATGGTCAGTTTTGAACAAATAAAGGAAGTAGAAGTTGGAGTAGGTTTCCCTTAAATAGGAGGAAATGTCTGGGACAAACAATTGCTGACTAAAAGAAAATAAAAATTTAATTTCAGTCAGGCAAGTTGGGTTTTAATTCAGATAATAGCTCCAGCTCAATAAATGAAACTCTTGCTGAAATGTTTCATTCTGACATTTTCTAAATCGATAGTGTTTTGGTTTTATGTGTGTTTCTTTCAAAGGCTGAAAAGAGATTTGAAAGCAAAATGAGCTGTTTCATTTTGAGTTGGACAAGTGCTTTGGGCCTACCCAAAATGAATTATTTTGGTTTAATTTTTCGGTTGGGTCACCAAAGAGAAACTCCATTATTCATGCAATTTTAATTTCCGTTGCCCTATTTTCCTTTCCATTTTTTGCCTCCAAGTCATGGACTGTTTGCAATTCCCACAGATCCTTGACTTAGGGAAAGCACCTGCTCCACATCCTTCATTGGGGATGCCTCTGCTGTAGAGGCTGTAGGACCTCTGCCTGAGCAAAAATTCACAGACCATGCTGCTGCCAGATTTGTTTAATTGACTCTTCCTCCCCTTCTCTTACATTAGGTGACCAACACAAGTGCTTTTTAGTTTTGTACACAGATAATTATAAAACATTTAAAAAATTGCCCCTGAAATGTCATATTGTGAAGAGAGAAGAACCCAAAGCATGAACAGGAGTTTCCACGTCCTGCTGAGTAAGTATTAGTGACACTTCAAGAAACATGTCTTAAATACATTGCCTGGAGTGTTAATGAAGAGATTTACATATTCAGTGTATGAATATATAGTGACCTAGAATAATACAGGGCTGATATTTCCAGTCTCCTGCTGGAAGTATATTCTAGGCAATGCAAAATGTTGAAGTTATCCTGTTCATAAATCAGTGGCATGTGATTATGCCAGCTTGTGCTTTAAAGCACAGTGAGCTGAACAATTAGCTGCTCTGAAGGAGGTGTGGGCTGCAGTGAACAGCAGTAAATGCCTGACAAACTTGCAGTCACAGCATCATCACTAAGGATAGTCCCTGTGACTGGGAGCAGAACTGGCCTGCTAATGTGAAGCAAGATTGGCAGAGACATTAGAGTCAGTTCCTTGCCAGGAACAAAGTAATGACCACAGAAAGAGGGAAAATCCTACAGTGCAGTTCTGTGGGACCCTGGGTATTATTGACAGGCCACTATCCCCCCCAAAATGTTACATAAAATAATATATTTAGGTTGAAAACTAATGCAGCCTCTCAGGGGATCCAGGATTCTGTGCCATTCAAGAATGTTTGTTGCAAAGTCAAATTTGGGTGAGGTAAGGCTGATGGCACTTCTGGAGCTTCATATGATTCATAGCACGTATCATATTTGTGACACCTTTTTCATGGTTAACACAAAACTGCAGATATTATCAGATTAACTGTATGAACTTCACCACTAACAAAAGTGCTGAACAACAATGCAAGTGAAAATATTTCTTTTCAAGTCTAGGAAATCACTCTCTCTGTTAACCTTTAAATTACAAATTGCTGGCCAAATTCACACATGTCAGTTTCTATAGTTTAATTTGGAATTCAGTGATGAATAGTTTGAAAAGAAGATTCCTACGTATTTCCTTCCCTAAGGAGAAATTAAATTAAAAGTTATATTGAGAATAACCATTTATCCTCAGCAAACTACCCCATGAGACACAGATGTAACTATTTTTCCAGTATGAAGGATTAAAGGACAGCATTTAATATTTCCAGGATCTGGCCATTTATTTTATCCAAGTTCGAATGTAAAAAAAAAAAAAAGGGCAATCTTCTAAAATAAAAGTATCTTCTCTTCAGCTAAGGGCAGCATGGATGAAAATATTTTGAAAAAAAGCAGACTGATAAATATGTCTTTAACTAGCTTTCTTGAAACTGTTTTATGGTTGTTTTTTCAAAAACCACTAAAGCTTTTCCCCTGGAAATTGTAGCTGTATTTTCAAATGACTGATAGAAAAGTGATGCTGTTTTCCAAAAACTGTCAAATTGCACCAATTTAAAATTCACTTCGTTCTTCTAGTTTTTTTCCAAAAGAAAGATCTCTGACTCCTACTGCACATTTAAAGAATAGTGATGATGTTTCTTAAGATGTGAAAAGAACAGGGCAATTATGCATCTGTGGTAAAGTCTAAAAGCTGTGCAATCATGAAGATTGACTTTCTGATTAGGCCTTGTGAGGTAACAGCTCCCCAGTGGATCAGTTCATCCTGGTCCTGCTCCACAGAAAGTAGAAAGAAAACTCCTGTTGATTTCACAGTGTGTAAGATCAGACTTGTAGTTTGTGGATTTATAGGGTCAATTATATTACCAAAAAAGAAAAATGATATCAACACAGATAATGGAAGTCATTGGACTGTTCTGATGAAAGGCTTTTTCATGAAAATCTAGTGTATTAACACTTGTTTGAGAATCAGAGGTTCCAAAATAAAGTTTAGATGCTCCTTGTCTTTGCAGTGACCTTTTAGTTATTGTTGGTCTAAAAATATCCAGACC